AGTGCAAGCATTTGTTACCTACAGACTGGACTCTCTCTCTCCCCAACCAGGGGAGGCAGATGGCCTTCATTGAGTGATATACTGCAACTGTTTGTATTAAATTTGTTAATTAATTCATGAATTTAGCTTCCTCGAATCATGACAAAACTGGCAACTGTAATTTAGATAAAGGGACTAATTACCTAGTTAGTGGAAACCTAAGAATGTGCCACATTTCCATGCTCCACACTGGGCTGAGTTATTCTGGATCAGCCCCTTTGGATGTTGCAAGGGTAAATCTGAAGTAGCAGCTTTTGGTTTTAATGGGCCTGGTGCAACATGACCGATGCTATTAAATATGCTGTTTAAAGTGAGGCTCCTTGGACTTTGGGAGTGTTTTTCATACCTACCTACAGTATTGGAGTACTGAAACAATAAATAATCCTAATAATCAATGACTGCACAATATTATACATACTTTTCCCATCGGTGAACATAAGACTGAAAGAGTTGTCATGGCTGCTACATAATAACAAGATAATTTTAAGATTATTATTTAGAAAAAGCCATTTTAAACTTAAAATAATAATCCGCACAGAATCTGACCTTTCAATCATGGTGCCGTTCTGGATCATCCAAACATCACAGTAGGTTCTGGTCACTAACATGGCAGCGATAAGGATAAGGTATCCAGTCTGTGGTGGAGAGATTAGTTAGGAGAGCCTGTAAAACATTGCCTATAATAATGTCCTTTATCATCCTGCCCTTGACTCTGCTTCTATCTGCTGAGCTGATCGGATAAGGCCAAATGAAAAATGAAGAGCCATGTGACTATGACCTTTAAATATGGAGCTAAGGTATCTGTGTCAAAGGGCTCCTCTCTCGGACATCATGTTATATTGAATAATGTCTCAAATGTCCAACTCTTGATGTTGTTTTATACACAGGCAAATCACTTGCAGGACAGATAGAGCTGCATAATTACTCAGTAATGATAAAGACTTCATGTGAAACCACTTGCTGTATTTTGGGGCATCCTAAGACAAGTGTGACCCTTGTTAGCTTCAAACCAAACATGAAACTATAAGGTACAGCCTTAACAAAATTAAAAAATGTTGCATGATCAAGTTTTACAAAGGACTTCACGTTTTTACTAAAAGCTTACAGTAAACCGGGGGAATATGTTGTGATTTTAGGAGCTATTCTTCATTNGTATTTCACTTCACTTTGCTCTCAAAACAGCCATAATTCGTTGTGACATGGATTAACATTCATGCTGCCAATATATTGTTCTATCACATCCCAAAGGTGTTCAACTGGATAGACATTTGGTGACTTGGAAGGTCACTGAAGTTCACCTAACTCACTGTCACGTTCATTGAACCAGTTTGAGAAGACTTTTATTTTGTGACATGGCCAAAAAAGGATGATCATGGACCGCAATAATACTTGATAGAAGTTGGCATTTGAAGGGTTATTGTTATTAAGGAAAACGTAACCCACACCAGTAAATTGTGTCTCTGTACACTGCAGCTTCAGATTTGTGTTCTGGGCTGACAGGAGTTGAACCTGATGTGGTGTCTGCTGTTGTAGACCATCCACCTCATCAACAAGACGTTTCAGAAAACTCAAACTTATTTCTTACTTATTTCTATTTCTGTGTCTTTATCTAAATGAGTAAAGGCGGTCCTAACCTCAGTCTCACACACACACACACACACACACACACACACACACACACACACACACACACACACACTTTTTTCTGCACTGATGAAAAAAGCTTTTAACATCTGGTGGACTACTGCAAGTAAAAGCAACATGGCAAGGACGAGTTTATCAGCATTGTCATACCTCCATGCAGAATAATCGAGGTACCAGGATCCGTACAATCTGGAAGATTCTGAGGAAGAAAGCCTTGTCCACTGCTGCTCGATCTTTTCTGCCATCTTTCTGTAAAAACAGATATAACAATGGTACTATGTGATTCTACTACAGCCATTAATGAAATGTTTTAAGACTTCACAGGCTTCAGACAAAAATGTGAAAATAAGACTAGGGTACCTCAGTGTTCAACACAAGATCAGAGCCGCCTTTTCTACTGCAAAGAAAGAGCAAATCAGACTGATTATAAAGCTGATTTAAAGACTTTTGACTCTGAGAAATTTCATAAAAAGTAAGAAAATTATACTTTTATAATCATCAGGGTTAGCATATAACTTCTAAAACATAACTTGACTTGTTAGGTGCCATTTGTGCAATATGAAAAGATGTCAACTGCTAGGTGATAATTTGTTATCAAACTTTATAATATTTCTGTGGATTCATCAAATAGTGATAACATAACAATTCAAAATGCAGTAGTAATAGCTTTTATATTTCCAGTTGTATAGGAGTCATTGGGGCAATGCTGCAAATCAACATTATAATACTGTTGGTAGGAGTATGACTGATATGGATATTTGGCAAATGCTGATACCAATATTAGGGACTAATGGGACCCTTATAACAAAGAAATATAAATAATTTGAGTGTAGTTTACCTGTCTTTATCAATGACAGATGTGGTAAGTGCAGACAACAGATGTGAAGAGACAAAAAACACACAAGTCTGCAATGTATAGAGGACATGGAAGTAGAGCCAATAAAGAAGATGGCCCTCACACTGATGGTGTCCACTGATCAGACTATATTTATAGATCCTATAAATCTGGATTGTAATCCCCATGAAAAGTTGTAGTATCGACAACACAGTAGTAGCGTCAATACGTTTATTATTACTCAACATGTCATTGATATTTGCTAAATAGGAGTCCTAAACAAAGGTTCTGGCAGGGAAGATTGTAGAAATGCACTCACTCGAAACGCAGATAGTGAGCACACAACAATGTTAAATTAATTTGTAGTAAAGGTGATACAGTATAGACCCCTTGAAAGACAAGGTTAACAGGTTTTAAAGTCGAGGAGAGGATCCATTTTAAACTTGTCTTCCCACTTAAATGAATCCTTCAAACATGAATCTGAAGCTTAAACAAATCCACTTCTACAATCGTATTTCTCCTCGTATAATCAATCTTACTTATGCCGCATAAACAAACTGCTAAAAAATTCTAAATGGCCGAGGAGACTTTGCTGGTTGAGACGGATACACGGATACAGATTCATGTAATAAAGAAACCAATCAGAGACATGACTGAACGTATGAAGTCGCTAACGAGTTGGCGAAAGTTACACAAATCCACCATTTCAGAGTGTGGATTGAGCAATTAGTCCCAGACATTGGTTTGGTCACGGTAAAAGTGGTTTTTCGGTGGGAGAATGAGAGTGACAGGAGGTCGCTGTCACCTGCTTGAACGAGGAGGGAGAAGCTGCTAACTAGCATCCCGATATCCTGGTTTTCTGCGCTTCAGTGTGGATGTTAGCGTGACTAACTTACCCGTCTTGTCTGTGCGTCCGTCGCCTGCGTTTCAGCAAGTATAAAAACAGCAAAACGCCGCCTGCTATTGAGGAGTTTTTCGCAGTTACATATTTACTGAAGGCCGCCATGTTTCTGAAACAACGACCCGTGGTTACTTTGCTCGAGGTTGCTTCAGTGGAATTCTGGGAGTTCCATGCAACTTCTTCTTCCCCTTTCTTTTCCTCACAACAGATCACACCTCCCCCTGGTGGACAACATAACCGTACTCTCCAGTTTGACATGCGTCAGTAGAGTTCCTGTGTGAGCCCAGTGTGAATACAACTTTTGACTCAGCCATTATTCAACTCAAAAACAACGACTAAAACATTAATGAATTAATGTGATGGAAACATTTGGCCCATTGGTATTTTTGAGGAGGGGCATATTCCAATGATAACGGGTGATTGAGTAGGGGTGGGTTGATTTTCACACACCAGATTGTGGATATTTTCATACAGTAGGCCTATAGAGTATAGAGTATTCCTATAAGAGAGACAAGTTCAAATGCAAAGTGTAGACAATGGTTGCTTAGTATTAGAATGCTGGCACTGCTTCAGGAAAGCTGTTAAATGTGAAAAAAGTCAATGTTAGCTTAAAAAAAGTACTTATACCATGAGGGAGAGATTTAGTTACTCAGTTAATACAGTTAACTGAGTAACTAAATCTCACTTAAAAATAACAGTATTTACAAAAGTCACGAAAAAAGACATTCTCTAACATAAATGGAAAGGTATGAATACTTTATCCCCAAAAAATGTCTGATAGAGATGAAGGGGGCAGCAATGACAACTGTAATAACAGAGGTATGCAAAGCAATTGCAGTATACATTACAAGGCATATTGTATATTGAAGCATTTGAATTGTAATCATTATGCACAATCATCTGCCAAAATGATATACAATCAACAGCCCATGTTCCACAGATCACAAAGCCTGATCCATGGTGCACACAGATGACTTAGCGTTAATTTGTACAACCTGGAATTTATTAATAAAATTCAAACCAGCTTAGGGCTGTTCCTTTACTGCCAATTAACTGTCCCAGTCTCTGTAGTAGGATGCGATATCAAAAGAACAAAATGCTGCACTAAGATCTTTTAAAAAAAGAGACAGAGAAGCCATCTTTATCTGAAGTTAATTTGTGACTTTTGCCAAAGTTGTCTCTGTGCTGTGATGAGCTCAAGACCCTGACTGATAGTCTTCACATAGTTCTTGAGAAAGTCACACAGGTGATTAGCAACAATTTTCTCAAGTATTTGAGAAAGAAAGGGGAGGTTAGATACTGTATTGGTACATAACCTCAGGGCCCAGAGTGAGTATTTTGAGAAGAGGTTTATTTTCAGCTAGCTGAAAGGATTGTGGTACATTAAGTGTTCTGGAGATGAAAGCTGTTGATCTTGCATTTCACAGCTTCTGCAAAGGTAGAGGACTCACCATGCCATCACGAAGCAGCACAGTGAGGGCAGCCTACATCAAGAGGCATGGGGCCTAAGCTCCCCCAGCCTGTGCAACCTGCAACTAAGGCTTACCCTCTTCTCTGCTAACCCAGGGCAACACATGTGCCAGGGATGTCCAACACAGCAGCTGACATCAGGTCAAGAGGGGTTCCAAATGTTAGAGAGTGGAGATTCTGCATTGCTTCTGCAAGTTTAGCAAAGACAAAGTATGACCAATGCATCTGCTAGAGGAAGTTGTTCAGCACCACAAAACTGGAAAAACATATAAATGAAGTTGCCTGTTGTTTTGGCATCCATGGGAGGGAATAGTCGACAGAGCAAATATTTGTGAACTGCAGCCATGATTTGTTGTTGATATCCTGTTTTGGATATATATTGTTTTTAATATTTAGTATCAAAGCCTCACAGCTTTGTTAACTGTTGAATTATTTTTAACAATTTACTGAATGCTATGGCCAATAGACTGGCCAAAAGATCAATTGTGGTGTTTTATTGTTGTTGTTGTTCAGATTTGCTTGGCTAATTTATATTTTGATGCTGTGTCAACATTGTTTTTGAAATCAGTGTTCAAACAATGAGCTACTCATTCAAGTGGAGACAGCCTATCAATTGCCCACACAGACAGAATAAAATGTTGTTTAACTGAGTGGAAACAGGAATTTCTGGTCATGTCATGGCCCTGACAAGGCTGCAGGACCACACTTTCAAGCCTGTCCTGTGTAGGGAGTTGTGTATTATTGTGATGTAAGTGACAGTTAAACAGTTGCCCTTCTTTGTAGGTGATAGTGTGGTGGTGCTCTTGTGGTGTGTGTAGTGTGTGCGATAGTTGAACTCTGTGCTGTGTAATTAACATACTGAGGTTAAAGTCCAGAGTTGGCCCATTTTGTAGCAGATGGAGCAGAGATTGCTCCAGTCTCTCCATGTCTCTGAGCAACATGACGCCTCTGCTCTGTCAGCTGACCTCTAACTATTCTATTGACACCACTGTCCATGTGAAGGGAGAGAGAGACGGAGCACTGATGGTGCGTGGTAACATGAGATAGCTCACCAGAGACAGATCACTCTATGGAGCACCTCATCCTCCAAACTGCTGATATATGATAGAAAGTAACGTTTTTCTTAAGCTCCTTCAACAAACTTTTCATTTCATTGATTTTGGTTCCTCTGTGTACAAAAGCAGTAGTGTTTTCACTGTCCCTGTCATTAAAACCTTGGTCCAGACAGCATGTGCATTTGTTTTGGAAGGAGTGATAAAAAGACACACATTTACAAGCTCAGGACACACACCAAGAAAACACTGCAGCTCTCTTTGGGGTAACGAAATATGAATTGTGTTTTATTATTATGTTCTCCACTAATAAGACTTGTCGAACTGAACTAAAGAAGCCTCTTGGATGAGACAAGAAACGTTTCACTTAGTCACATGATGTTGCCTCTATAATGGAGGGTCATGCAACCACCAGCACTCTCACCTGAGGATCTATCACCTTTGGAGCCATGGGTCCACCTACTGCGCATGCTGGACCATAAGGGAGGCAGGAGTGCCCGGGGGGACCAACGCGCCCTTGGAAGACCATGCCAACGTCCACGTGGAGATTCCCAGGCTGGATTGAAGCCCATGACCTTCTTCCACCTGGCAGTTTTTCCTCCTGCTGTTGCTCATGCTTGCTCGGTGTGGAACAAGTTGGATTTTGTCTTTTTTAAGATCTTGGACTTTTGTGCAGCACCCTGAGACAACAGTTTGTTGTGATACCTTGATATATAAATACATTTGATTTATTGATTGATTGATTGATTTATATATGAGGAGCATCTTGAATTCTATTCAGTAGTAATATGATCTCTCCTTCTAGTTCCTGTCAGCACTTGTGCTGCAGCATTTTGGACCAACTAAAGTCTTTTACAGACTTCCCAGGCCATCCTGATAATAAAGAGTTACAGTAATCTAGTCTAGCGTTAACAAATACATGGACTAGTTTCTCAGCATCCTTCTGAGACAGGATGTTCCTAATTTTCATGATAGTGAGCAAGTGGAAGAAGGCTGTCCTAGAGATTTGTTTTATATGTGGGTCAAATGACATGTCCTGGTCAAACATAACTTCCAGAACAATGCGATAATACTTTTATAATACATTTTAACAAACACATCTCACCTATTTTTATAAACAAACAATGTGTGTCAAATTAAAAAAACCTACAATGTACAAAATATTATAAAAGTATAAATTAAAAGCACTCAACTAAAAACACAATAAAACACAAAGTAAAGCTAACAGAGCTTGATTTTTCAATCCCTCTGGCACTGTTGATGTTGGCAGTTTCATTGGAGTGGTAAAAAGGAAGGGTAGGTGCGTCATCACGGTCATCAGGTGGGACCCCTCCTTCATCTATGCTTTTAGATGATCCAATGACATCTCCAGAGGGTGATACCTGGTGTCCCAGGTACACTCCCCTCAGTTGCATGCCCTCCTGTCATCATCTTGCAGCCCAGTTGTCAATTCTTTTATTTAAAGTCAATTGCTTTTTTTGCCCCAAGGGAGAAAATACACACTGAACTAATGACAAACTAGAGACAGGTGGCAGAGGACAAACAGGTGAGCCTGGTGAGGGCAGGAAGTCCAGGGGGAAAACACACAAGGAGCAGAGACTGCAAAATAAAACAGGAAATAGATGAACACAGAGGAACACAGAGGAACACTGAGAGGGACACAGGGTGAAGCAAAGAGGAACACAGAAATGAACACAGAGGGGAACACAGCGAGGAACACAGGAGAGGAACACAGGAGAGGGACACAAAGAATGCTGCTGTAACAGTTTGATGGTGAATTAATTATTTTCGGATTAGCATTCCTCCCGCTCTTCGCCATGTTTTGGGGATAAATTACTTTTCCCACACGTTTCTCCAACAGAATTTCAAAATATGAGGGGCATTTTTTAAATACACTAGGGAACACCATAAGGGTCTGGCACGCATGCTGATCTTGCCTTCCTCACTACTTTTTTGGCTCATCAGCGTAGATGGTTCTGATAAGTTCCTCAGCTTCTTCCTTTCACGTGTTTAAGGATCCCCTTTTCTTTTTTGTGAAAATATTTTTCACAAATTTAAAGGGATTTTTTTAAAGTCAGTTCTGGCCTTTGCTTTTTTCAGCATTGTGTCCTATAATTCTCTGCTCCATGCAGTTTTGAGAGCCTCTATTTTAGGTCCTTTTGGAGGAGGTTGATGCCATCCCTTTCTTTTGATGTTAGATGTTTCACAACTATCTCAGGCTCCTTCTCTCTTTGACAGGTTGTTGGAGCTCCTGTAGATGATGGGATTTCGAAGGAGGAGGCATATCTTTCTTGTTGACATGTTCCTATACTCCAAACTTCTCTTTTCCATAGCTGTAGATTAGATCACCTATCTTCTCCAACGTCTTTTCTACTGATCACTTGTTCTTATATAAGATCAGGGTCACATTTGTATTGATGGTTTCCCACTCATTGCTGTTAAACTTTGACCATTTCACAAATGGCTTATGTCCTTGCATGTTCTCTTATTTTTGATGTGCCTGGTTGCACTTGGACTATTGTTTATGTCTGAAGCTTCTTCCACATCCCATGGGGTGCTGATGCTCTGCTGACTGTAGGTTTCTTCCTTTCACAGAGTTTTATAAGACTGATTTGACCTTTCTCCTGACAGAAACTGGTCAATGTGGAACCTGGAGTTGTGGTACTTTCATCCTTGAAGTTTTAGACCAGGAAATTATGTTACTTTAGTCCAGCCACACCTACAGTCATGAAAAACATGTCTTACTGCTGGTTTCTCAAGAGTATTAGCGCTTTTTTGATTCATTGTCGTGTCCTTGCCAAGGTTTGTTACTAGTCTTCTTGCGCCTTCACAACATGACATGACAGGATTTTCACTGCATACACAATCTCAGTGCCTGTATAACATGATTACAAAAGTCTATTGCATGTGATAAGAAAGCGGTTTGTGCAGGACAGTGTTTCTGCTCTCTTCGTGCACTTCAATCCCACAATCCTAGCTATACTCCTACCTGGTTCCACATTATACTGTACATTACTGTATTCCAAAGCATCACTGAGAAGAATAAGAGAATACAAACCCTACATAGCTCACACATATATTAATCTCATCTTCACAAATGAAAGAAAACATGGGAACACATTTTTATCTCATGCATATACAATTACATTTTAAGCACTCAGTGTAGTAAAACATAGCCTCAGTATATGTTTATTTTTTCTTTATGACAACTTCAGGGCTTTATTCCTTTGTCTTTAATTGGTGAGAACAGAAACAAAACTATTTTGTCCACATTGAGGGAAAATCTTCAATCTATCCTGCTGCCTTTCCCTTTATTAATTCTGCCATGTCATGGTGTACTGTTTGTATTGATATGACAAGTACATGCAGTATCAGTTCATGATGTTATACCGCTGCACCAGTAGGTGGCAGTAGCGTATGGTTGTCGTGCCATCCTAGCTTTAAATGTTGGAAGAGTGATGAATAAAAACACTCTGAATCAAGACTCCGGTGTGCAAGCCTCGTCAATACACTGTTGACATCATTTACTGGTACTCCTCATCCGCTTTCATCCCCACTACACTATCCTGTCGAACAATACCAACACACGGAACAAAGCTCAGTGTGTTTATCTTTTTATGCTGCATATTTCTATAAATTCCATGATTTGCGTTTGTTGGTATCCAACTGCTTGGTCACATGCAGTATCACAACACTCAAGCCTTTTATGATGATATATATTCTGTGGTTGAACACATTAAGGCCTGTATGACCCAGAACCTTTTATTCCTAAATTAAAAAAAAAACAGAGGACATCATACTTGGCCCTTAACACCTCAGAGAAACATGGTCTGACTACATAGTTACCTTGTATGGTATAAGTTGGATGGTGGAGTTTTGTTTGAAAAGGACATGTCATTTGACCCTTTACATAAAACAAGTCTCTAGGACAGGGGTCTACTGCCTGTGCAATATTAGGAACATTTTGAAACAACCTGTCTCAGAAGGATGCTGCGTTATCTCTAAACTGGACTTTTGTAATTCTTCATTATCAGAATGTTCCAGTAAGTCTGTGAAAAGCCTCCAGTTGGTCCAAAATACTGTCAATAGTGCTGACAGGAAATAAAAGAAGAGATTATATTACTTCTGTCTTAGCTTCTCTGCATTGTCTCCCTGTACAATTCAAATCCCATTTAATGGGGGTGGGGGCTTTTGGAATTCTCTACAATTTTTAAGGTCTCCACCTTCTATGTAAAGTGCCTTAAGATCATGTTTATTATGAGTTGCCGCCATACAAAAAAAAGTAATCCAATAGTTAAAATTGTGGACAGGAAGCAACACACTTTGGAGAGAATCTGCTCATCAGGGGAGCCATAAAAGGATCATCAACAGTACCTTCTACAAGGAGTAAACAGACCATGCTAGCTACAACCAAGGCCTCCCAGCTCATGATTTTGTCCTCTGATTTGTCCTCTGACTGAAGCTAAGACAGGTACACAAACAAAGAAAACTGCCAAAGACATTGTCAGCATGGTCTCTCTGTGAAGTATGCGAGGAGTTGTAACAAGCAGGAAAATCCATAGCCCGGCAACAACAGAAATCATATTTACATAGCTGTCTCTCTTTCTTCTGCTAACACAAACACTGTCCGTCTATTATTATGAGCAGGGAATAGTTGTGATTGTTGCCTCCTCCCAGTATTCCACAGAGTCGTCTTCCCTTCCCCCCCTCCTCTCAGCCATTGTTTTCTCACAGACTCCACCTGAGCTCCTCTAACCTGAATAGAAGCCTTGTATCACATAATTTTCCACCAGCACTATTCATGAGCAGAGTGGAATCCAAGCTTTATTTTTGCAATGGACTACAATGCGCTGCTACTGGTGTGTATTGTTCCAGTTGTTTGTTGCTACAGCTCAGGTCAAATTATGGACAGCTGTGAAGACATGCAACCCCATCACTCTGGGTTGAGACCGCAGACAGAACCAGCGCCTTACACCATCACTACAGACCACAGCAGTTACAGACGTGGAGAGGAGGTCAAAGGTAAGCAACATGCTTATATAAACCTGGAGCAAAGTGTATTAATCATAATACAATTTACACTTCTCGAATCACTGAGAATTGGCCTTCTTGTATAATCCAGACATCATGCATAATTTTGGCAATATGTATGTATGGATAATGGTCCCATTAAATCATTTTCTATATCCCTATATCCTCTGGTTCCATCTTTGTTTAATACTATTGTAAATCTGATCTGTTGTACAGTTGGACTGTTTATGGTCATATTTTACTGCATATTCGGACATTTTTGACATTTATTATTTGGATAAATGACAAAATCTTGGCCATCTAAAATTAGTCCTAAGGTTTTACTTCAAAAAATCATAGTGTGCTTAAAATGAATGACGATGATCTTTGCTAATCTTTGTAATGCTTATATGAAAATAAATACCTGGATTCACGGTATGAGTTTCGTGGCTAAAATCACTGATCTAATTCTTTTTCAGTTCAGCTCCTGGCTCTGAGCTCAGCACCATTCATTGGTTTCTTGTTACAAGCAAGAGAAGTGGGGGGGCAGTCTCCAGTGGGCTCCTTTGAGCTGATGCCAGGGGCTGCTCAGCTGCTGATTTGCGGCCAGAGACCTGTGAGTTTACTCCCATGCTGTAATGTGAATAACATGCCTACAGCTGGCAAAACTGTGTATGATGCCCCATGCTTATTCAACATTGTAGCACTTATTTATTTACACTTTGGTCCATTGGACAATCTTTCATTGCCCAATAAACAATATCATAAATTACGAAATATTATATGATAATTATTTCTCATTTCCTCAATAAAGCCCTCTGCAACGCACATATAGCAGCCACATTATAGTACAGCTCCACTCTGAAATTATTGTAGCAGCCTTGCACCCGCACATTAAGGGTACGAAAGCGTATTGCATTCACTTAAGAAAAAAAAGCACTGTTTTTCTGAACTAATGAGATAATAATTTTGGAAATTCTGAAAAACGTTTTCATAAGAGAAAAAAAAGAAAGCTCAGTTTTTCTGAATTTATGAAATAATTATCTTGGAAATTCTGAGAAAAGTATTTAAAAAATTGATGCTGTTTTTCTGAATCAATGAGATAACAGATTTGAACTTTCTGGATCAATAAGTCATAAGCAAAACATTGTTAAAACACAAATACCACCATGTTCAGTGATGAAATGATGATAATATGATGAGTTATTCGGCTGGAATCTGTATGAAATATGATACCTATGACAATACCTTCTAAATAATCTGTTTGTAATAATCTGTCACTGTGGAGTTGGAAGTATTAGATTGTGTCATGTGTTCTCTGAGATGGACACATAACACACCATCTACTAAGTGCAACAGTGAAAAGAGATATTACAAAAATATTCAAAAACTTAACTCTTATACTGTGTATTCTCAAAAAAATCACGTCACACATTCAGTGTCTCCTACTGGTTGACTACAATACTTACTTTGGAAAAATTCTTAAGTAAGTATTGCATTTTATAAACCTCAAGGTTTGCATAAGAAATGGCGTTCAAGCCAGCCTCCAATCTGAAACAAGTGGTCAAACTAGCCCCCACTCATTTCACTCTGCACATTGTTTCCAAGAGGGATCTCTTCCCTCCGACAGTTAACACCTTAACACTAGTTCGTTTCATCTAAATTGTATGAGTTGTAGTTTTCTTTAGCCCAGAAAAGGCTCTTTGCCTCTCTACCGAGGCTGCCATGTTTTTTATAGTAGAACAGACTGGACAAACTAAACACCTTTTGAGTTTTTATGACAACTGAAGACTACCACAGGTTCTTTTTCATGTTTGGAAGTGGAGGGTGAGGTGAGGAGTGTACAGCTGCAACATGACACTTCAACACTAGATATCACAAATTTCTACACACTGTACCTTTAAAGCAACAAAATAACAGATTGTCATTGAGAAACTGCCTGTTTCCACAGACTAATTTCACTTCACAATGACAGTTCACCACCTCAGATTGTCACACAGACAGTATCAAGACAATCTGATGTAGACTTTCAAAGTAAGCGCCCTTGGAAATATCCTATTTTCACAGTTTTGGTTGTGGCAACAGAGAGGGAGATCGTTATGGTACTCGACAAAGATGAACTGAAGACTGAAAAGATGGCAGAGGGTAGTGCGTTACAGCGCTGCCTACTTGTTTACTAGACTGGTAACCTTTACATCAACAAAAAGGGTAAGCCTATTTTAGCCTAGCTTTGCGTGAAAAGGGTGGCCTGGAAAGAAGTCAAATTCCTGCCCTGATTTATGGTACCAGGTGGCCCATGGGAACAACTTTCCTTTTTGGATCAAACAATCAGGTAATACAATGCATAACAATGTTTACTGTATTTTACTTAGTTTCTTTGTTTGATTGTTTTAATTTTATAATTTTACTACTTCTCTATATGTGTCATCAGTAAGTGAAGATATACTGTTAGCAGAGCAGCAGTAGTAGCTCCAATTCTCCTGAGCCAACACAGTATGCATTCAGGAACAGTATGGAGTATGTCAGCACCAGCACTGAGGGCTAAGTGATCAATCAGTGTAACTAAATGAGCAAAATAATATTTTTTGAAACAACTTCTAAAACAACGTACAGTATATTGAAAGTCCATATATGCATGTGTGTGAATGTGTCCAGAATTCTGCAGTATCTCACCGATCAGACTCTGTTAAGACCTCTATTTGGGTGACATGGAGATCAAAAGCATCAAGAGACGGGAAACCCATTCAGTTCCAGTAAGGATGAAAACTATTCTGTTCTACTCTGTTCTTTTCTACACCACTCTCTAGTGAGACAGGGCAGTGAGTTTTATTTCTGGGTCATGATGGAATAATACCTATGTTTTTACTGTGATGCATGAAACCTGGGTTTGGTTTCCCTACAGTGCCTCCTTTGTGAAGAATTATAAGACATTCTGGGTTGATGTTACAAGTCCTGTCCTGACCTTCAGTAATGATGGTAGTGGCGGATCCACCAGTCTGCCTACACCAACAATAACCAGCTCCACCACCACAACAACAATAGAACTTCAACCTACATCACTGAGTGTAAGTAATAATGATGATTAGGAACAGGGTGAAACCCGCTGTCTAACTACCAAACAACAAAAACAGACAAATGACTCATCCACCAGCCATAAACAGTATGTAACAATTATACCATAATTCACATAGTAAACTCTTACCAAGACCCATGAAATGAAGCATACATGTTCCCAGGTGTAGCCCTGTGTCCCTGTTATATCTATTTGTATATATCAAAGTTTCAACTGTTTGATGACTCACCCTGCACTCAGGTCTTTACTAACTCTGTGTCCAATGGTAATGCGTTCAAGAATTTGAATCCCCTCTCTGTGACTATAAATTCTATCAGTTAGCCACTGGTCCAGGGGGAATGATGCTGTCCAATTAAGTCTTTGACAACAGAGAGTGAACTGTCGTCATGACTTTCCATTATGAACTTCTACTGTCGACTAGTGTAAATACCAATCAATATCTAAATATCAAACATTGGAGGGAATCCAATGTTTGTTATTACTAGAAACATAATTATGAGGAATCAAATAGAACTCTGACATCCATTTCATGTGGGGTCTAGAGGCACCCTATATTTAAAAGCTTTTGGCTTCATTAACCAATATATAAATCTCCAAAAACTGGATAACCAAGTATCAAAAAAGTTTAAACCGTTAAAGTTGACAGGTGTCCAGGGTGCAGGGTGAGTGCCGATTGTACTATCTATTATGAACACTAGGATCTTATTGTTTTCTTGTTATATGAACAGATTGATATATATTTAGACTTTTTCTTGCATCAGAGTATCTCCAGTGCAGACTGCGGTATTACCAAGATGTGTTTCAGTCAGCCTTCAGACTGTGACCCTGCAGTCAGTGCCGACTGTTATTTCATGTCAGCCATGATGCTGTCTTCAACTGACAAAACCATCCGATATGAGATGACAGGTCCTTCCAATGGATACATCTCTTTTGGATTCTCAGATGATCAGATGATGGTAATGTCATAACAAATGTAAATCTATGAAATGTTCAATGTTTGTTAAAATGCTAAGAATAAGGCTCATGATATACTTGTTTTTGACCACACATTATGTGCAGTATTATTCTTATGTCTGCCTATTTAATTTGTCTGTTCCTGGAGATGTATTAATGTGCCTCTCTGAAGATACATGTAAACTTCTCAGCAGACCAACATATAGTACAGTGACTCAAAGTCCCAGGTTGACAAAATACATATTAGCATATATATTAAAAGCGAAAACATAAAAAATGTGAAAATATCATGTGAGAAATGTGGAAGTCCTTACAAAACAACACACACTCTGCCTTCATTACAGATTTGAAGGTTTTACATTGTTATTACTAACTTGAAACACTCACATTTTACACAAGTTTTTCATTTATTTTAAGTATTGAATAATTATTAATTAAAATGTCAACATTCATGTGAAATGTATTAGTGTGACTATTTGTGTGTCTGATTGTGATGCAATTTGTGAGTCTAAATTCAAATTCAATTCAATTAAAAAAAACTGTATTTGTCCCTGGAGGGTAATTCAAAGTAATCAGTAAGTTGGATTTCCTTTCCTTTTTAAGGTTAAATAAGGTTGGTTCAATTTGATAACCCTGTTGCACCGACATAAGTGTAAAACAAACTGCCATATGAATTTATGAGAGTAAACCTACACAGGGGCAAGTATTATATTTCATAGTTCACAAAAGAACCTGCCACTTGCAACAATAGTCCTATAGTCTTGGGAGGGAGGGGGAAGACAAAGGGGAGAGAGAAAAGAGAAAGACCAGGAACAGTTGTGTAACAAGTTTTTCAACTACTGGTAATAAAAAGTAAAAGCGCTTGCTGCATGGGACCATAAACAATGCTAAAAAAGTAGGGAAAAGGGTATAAGTGTATGGCTTTTTTGTTTACCACACAACTCTTTGCATGTTTATTTGTAAATTATTTTAATATAGCCCTGGGAAAAGTGCAGAAAAATTCTGCCACCAGAGTTCATATTTGATTGTACCTTCAGAAAATGAATACAAAACTCATCAGTTGTGTATTCATCTGTAGGAATGAATGATGCACATGTGTATAGCTGTTAAAAGTAAATATATCATGAGCTCTGAAAATGTGAGGGACTCAACTAGTTATGATCCATGAACATCCATGTTTTTAAGAGTGCCATACTGAAGATCAGAAGTAAGCATTAACAAAGGATAGTGATGTTTATCTGTTTCAGTCTAACAATCCGCTCTAACCAGTGGTTCCTCTTGATTCCATTATTTTTACAACTGATTCTCGGGAATTAACCATCAGAGCACTACAGATGACACATCATTTCAAGTCCATTCAGTCCATGTTGCTCTCTCCTCAGTCCTTTTCGGTTAGAGTTAAAGAGAATATTCACATTGCAATTGCTATTCCAACCAAACAAGGCTGCGAAGATTTTTGTAAACATGTTGACAGGTTGGGTTGGTTTTTTGAAAAATTGGATCTATATTTACTGATTGGAAAAAAAGTGAAAGCCTTTTCATTCATACTTCTGTCTGTCCTCAGGGAAATGATGACATTTATATTTGTGGCAAAGGCAGTGATGGCAGAGTGTGGTTGCAGCATGCCTTTTCAACAGGTCGGACAGCTCCACAGGCTGTTCCTCTGGTACTGAAGGTTCTTATGGAACTACAGATTTATTTCTGAATTTTGCTGTGGCATACAGTATTGTATGCTCTTAACCTGCTAATACTATGAGTGAATTGTAACTTTGTGGATTCAACTTGATACTGAGATCATTTTTAAACTGTCCATCAGGGGAATGTTTTGGATGTAAGAGCATCAGCGCTGGACAGAGTAATCAGCTGTTCCTTCACCTCCATGAACAAGATTTCTACTCAGAGGACCAGAGGCTTCAACAAAACCTACCATCTCATGTTTGCTCATGGTCCCAGCAGCTACGGTAAAGCAGATATTCTATATGTGATCAGGGGGGAAATGTTAACTGTTTAATGTAAGAGTTTATTTTAAACTAGTTCAGTGCCAGTTCTAAACCTGCCTGTTTGGAATGCGCTGTTGACCTATGGTAATGCTAGTTGCTGTTTTCTTTCCGAAACTGTTAAAGTGACCTATGATCAACTGGATTCTGTTTTTGGCACAAACTTTGAAATGAAACAGAATTTGCTTCATTACAGTTCACGTGTGTGGCTCATATATAAGTTTGAATGATGCACTGAACTGCTGTTTTTATTTCACACATTCTGTTTTGACCATTTCAGAGGTCTATTAAGAAACCAACAATTTCTTCACCATCATCATCTTACATAAATGCAGAGATGTAGCAATATACATATACATACACAATAGGTATTTATACAATAGAAAATGACAGTTGTAATGATAGCGGTACTAACAATAATGGTATATGAGAGTAGACACATTCTATATGCAATCTCGTTGAATCCATAATCCATAAGGTGCCACCACGATCTATGATTCAGGATCCACGATCATGATCACGATGCAGGATTGTGGCTGCACTTGGACTCCAGGGAGGAAGTCCAGTCAGTAATATGTATTGATGAGACATTAGTGTGATGAGGAGAGGAAGAACGAGAGGCTCCATGTGTGATGTGTCCCCTGATAATCTAGACTAGCTAGCAACTAGCAAGTCAACTCTTAAACTTTAGGAGGTCGTGTGCCTATAGAACTGAAACTGAGAGATGATTCCACAGGGGAGAATCTTGATAAGGCTTTTGGGATGACAAGTACTCCTGAACAGTGTATTAAGCAGAGAGTCATTGTAATGGAGCTAATAGAGAGGAAATGTGATTTTTTTCCCCCCCTGGTTCTTGTCAGTACACACAGCATTTTAGACAAACTACAGAGTCTTTAAATACTTACTGGTGGAGCCTGAAAATTACAATAGTCAAGTCTGGACACAGTAATAGGTGCAGACACATTTTTCTGCATATGAGACAGGAGGTGATTGATTTTTGAGTATGTAAGTGAAAAGGCAGTCCTTGATATTTGTTTTAAATATGTAAGAATACTCCCGGAGTATTTTCGGCAGTTTCGCTGGAGGATGCAGTCATCCAGAGCAGCTACATCATTAGATAATGCATAAAGTAGTTCTCATACTTGGAATGAGAAATATAAAAAGAGAGGTCATAAGAAGCTGGTACTGCTGAGGTCAGTCGCTCGACATTGCACTGGGGACTGCTCCCTAGTTGAGCAGTGTATTCTCTGCTGCAATGTCACAGTCAGTTTCTGTGTCAGAATCCCAGTTTTGCATCCAAAATGCAAGACCTATTGAAAAGTGTCTGGATCACAGTTTTGGTCCTATGGATCAATAAATAACAGCTCAGCACTACTGCAACCAGAGGTTAACAGCTACGGGCCACTCAAGCACAGCCAGGATGATCTTTTCCAACTACAATCTTCTGTTCTCTGCAACACGAAACCAAGAGGTATTTCCACATTGTTGCTCCATCCACATAAGATAAAAACCTGGCTTGACAAGCCTAACCTGACTCCGAGGTCAGTCTCAATCATTTCACCATGTCGCGGCCAGACAGAACCAGGCAGTTGGGCAAAGAAAGAGGCAGTGGGGTGCATCTATGTCTATGTATCTACAGAAGGTGGTATAATAACATCAAAATCCACTGCATAGTACACCTAATGTGGAGATGCTGATACTGTCATTACACACCTTCTCCCTCCACATTTCCTTCTGTGGTTGTCAGCCGTGTTTATGTCCCACCAAGAGACACCAAGTTAGCGCTTGAGCACATCCTCCACTTTGGTTTTCTGTCAACAATGTTATCTAGCTGCTTCCACGCTACAAATTGGAACTTCAACGCACCAAGCCTCAAACCTACCCAACCCAACCCAATGGTCGGAGGACGTCATGACATGGTTTCAAGGGTCACTGGCATGTGCGGACCGGGACATTTTTTACAGTGGTCTGGAAGAAAGAGTTTCTGTCATCACTGACTACATCAAGTTCTGAATTACCACCATAATACCAACAAAAAATATCCAAAATCCAAACCCTGGATCACCTCCCACATCAAGCATAGCCTCAAAGAAAAATGGGAGGCAATGCAAGGACTTGGCAACGCTTAACAAAATCCAAAAAAAAAAAAAAAAAAAAAGA